GCGCATGCTCCGTCGCCATGTAAGCTCTGTCACAGTCCGTTTTCGGACATCGTCGAGGGTGGACCGCACGTCGGTGTTGGAGCGACTTCGTTCAAATATATATTAGTTTTTTAAAAGTTTATACTCAATTATAAATATATTTATGACTAGAAATACTTAATTTAGTTAATATCTGTACACTGGTAACTGTAAATATTATTTTCTAAATAAATGAATTTTTAAAGTGCCCAAAGAAGAAGAAATTTTTGCGGCGACTTTGATTAGTGAAATTGAAAAATGCATTTTTATATTTAGATGTGGAACGACGAACATGCTCTCGTTACTTAGATTTCGATAGTTTTTAATACCTATGTAATTTTATTGTTGCATATTTTTATTAATTAGTTGATATTGAATTTTATAATTATTTATTACAATAAAATGCTGTTTTTATGAGTATGACTTTATAAAATATTATTAGGGAGGGAAATAAAGATACAGATACTTACATTTAGGTACACTGTTATCAAATTAAATCAAACAATTTAAATAAATAAAAGAATGGTGCTTACCTAAGTATAAATGACTATATAAAGACATTCTTGGGTTTATGGTTTTTTCATATTAGACGAACTATCATCTAAAAAAAGTAAAAATTTTAAATTGGAGAGGGGTTTCTCTACGTGATAAAGTTAGAAATGAAGATATTTGCATTAGAATCAGAGTAACAGACATAGCCCAACGGAATATTACAATGAAATGGCAATGGGCTAGCTATATAACTTGGAAAACAGATAAAAAATAGGAAGAAAGGTCCTCGAGTGGCAACCTCGTACAGGTAAGCGAATTAGTACTCAACCTTTATTCCTCTCACGTATTCTCATACGCTTTTCTTCACACGCACACACACACACACACACGCGCGCGCGCGCGCGCACACACACACACACACACACAAACAAATAGGTCGCAAATAATACTTACCTAGTACTATTAGGCAAGAGTGAATAGGTTTTTGTTAAGTCAGTGCAATTTACCATCTTAGACTACATAACCACTTACCGATGGGATTGTAGTTGCTTTACTATTTGCTGGGTAAAAATAGTAAAAAAAAAAAAAATTACCCTGTGAAAGTTTGCATTTAGATATAATTTCTCTAACCAACCGTAAAAATATGATGAGAATATGTATATAAGTATAAAGGTTGCCTCACACGGGACAGTGATAATATAATATATCTTCCATTATCTACGCATGAAAACTTAAAATCTCTGAATCCCAAGGTATGTTCATATTAATAGAGCCACATTGAAATGCATGGGGATCGTTTTGTAATTTCACGTCATTATCAAAAAAAAATTGTACGTATTTCAGGTGGCGGTTTGCAAAACACGATTCCACAAAAATTAACTCAATAGAAAAGAATTGCTAAGTTGCTTCTAAAAATACTTAAATTTTCAACGTCAATTTTTTCTCACGTGGTAGAGCCATGCTGCAGCTATATTAGTAGTAGGTATAGTTGTAGCACGAATGGGTCGGCTCGACTGGGGAAGGGCCACGCTCTCACGGAATAACATGTAAAATAGCACTTTAACCCTGCTGTGTTTCGTATGGTGAGTGTAGAGAACCGGAGAACCTTTTTACTGGAAACGAGGCATTACATCTTAGTCCTCACGGGTAACAACGCATCTACATTTTGATACGTAATCGAGAATAGATGTAGATGTGTATGGGCCGTAGCAACCACTTACCATCAGGTGGACTGTGTGCTCGTTTGTCACCCTTATTCTATTAAAAAAAAACTTTCTGAGATTTCAGTAAAATAATGTTAAGTATTGTAAGCACTCGTACAATTATGTCTCATGTCAATAAAGCTATTGGGCTATTTTGATTTGTAATAAAGTGATTTTACTTTATAGGTTAAATAATTTATTTACCTTTCTATATCAAGAACCGTTTTTCTGTCACTCCTATTAAATTTGACAATGCTCGCTGAAATTTAGCATCTTTAGATGGATCAGAATCGGCCGCTGATCCATCTGTTAGATATTGCAAAAATAATCGAAAATATTTATTTTTACTTTCATGCCGAAGACTACCTTGTTTTATTTTTTATTACGCTCAAATAATATTTATTAGTTCATAAAGCAAGTATTTTTGTAAATGTTTGTATGTAAGTGTAAATGTTTTCATTATTTTGTTATTCTATTGTTTATAGTTATTACCACGTCTTAGCTTTACACCAAGAATTACATAAGAAATTCTTGATGGGATGCGAAGTAACGCGCATACGTAATTTTCATCAAGAACTATAATATATATATATATATTTGTTTTTTTTTTACCAGTAGAGTTTCAACAAAATCTTAAAAAAGTTCAATGAATTAAAAAATGCCAATAATTATATAATTTCAAGTCAGTGTTTTACATTTAAAGATCAGTTATAAAGAGCCAATGTTATTATTTTCATTTTGATTAATTTAATTCGAGACTAAAATAATGTGAAAGGGCTTTTATCTGCAATAATAATTTTCATCAAAAATAACATAGACTTATAAAAGTCATATACACGGTCAATCATACTGAAGATTATCAATTGTACTACAAAATATTTAAAAGACTATTTCCAGTATAATGACCCGAATATCATCATTAATGTTTGACTGGCACACTTAAAAGTTTTATCACATGTCTAAATGATTGACTTTTATATTATGATAAGGTCATGCTTTTCTATAAAAAGTTGCAAGAAATTTTAAATCATGGCCCTATTGGTTTGTTTTACTTTTTACTTAATTAGTGAAAAACAAAATGGACTAATCTAAAAGTTTACTTTCTTGTGTAAAAAGTGCTATTTAGAATTTTATGCAAATGATAATTAAAGTTTTTATGTAAATAAGTGTAATTGCGGGTATTATATTCAATGGTAGCGGCCATCCATATTTGCAAAGTCAGCATCATTTTCTGTACAGAAACCGGCAAAGTGTTGCTCAAGGCACTATAAACAAAGCAGCTGATAAAATGTTACACTCATAACTGTTAACAAAAACTGTTTCCGCAAATGGTCTTATAGATAATAATAACTATTCCGCCATGTTAGGTGCAGGAGTTATTATTAGAAGGAGAAGAGGTAAAATTTTGTTTTAGAAATGCGCATTCAATATTGTTTTGTCTGCAATTGAGCATAAAATAAAAAATAACTTCAGCCAAAGAGTATAACTGGCATTATACTCAGGCCCATCAATTGGTATGGAAAAAAATAATTTTACCAGGTTTCAATAAATCAATCAAAATTAAATCAAAAACATAAATATTAAAATCAAAAAATGTATATATGTATGTCTATACATACCTATAATGAATTATGGCCGCTTACTAACTGACGGCGACTCACTAAAACATCCTACAGTCACGCCGAAACTAAGAGGAGAGAATTACTGTAGAAAAGGTAATAATTTATTGCGGAAATTTTGTGATAAAATTTAAAAAATTATAAACTTATCCAAGTTAATCTAACTTATCATTATGCGTTACAAAAAAACAAATAATAAAATAGTGAGATGGCGTCAGTTTTTAAGAAGATATAATAAAAAAAAAATTCAAAAAAGTTCAGTATTTAATTGATTATATACCGCTGACACTTAATCACGCTTTTCGAAACCACGCCAGTTGTAAACAATACTTGTGTGAAAAGACAAAATCTTTTCAAATTTCCGCCGAGTTGTAAGTAGAAGGCCAAATAGGTCACGTGTCAATTTTAATTAAATATATTTTATATGAAGTGATCTTGACTACGTTTCATCAATTACCCGTTGGTAAAAATTAAAACAGGAATTTTACGATTGTGTTTACAAAAAACGTTATTAGTTGAACCTTGCAGCTTGTTCATTATTTTTATTATAAATACCTATAAATGTATATATTATTAATAAATAGTTCCCATAATATATTGGATTATTTTTTATTTTGCCCTATCTGCAATGTTCTACGCTCTATAGAAAATGTGGCGTATGATATGACTGACAATCTTTCGAACATTTTATCTAGGTACAAAGATGTTTTACGTTTTCGTCGCCTCCACATGATATTTTTGTCAGCATAAGGTACCCTTCTATATGTAAAACGAATATAAATATTGCTACAAAGTAAAGTTATAGGCTATACAAGTTCCTCTACTGGGCACAGGACTCTTTTTTCATTTCTGAGAGGGTTTTAGGGCAAGGAAATGCCCGCCGTGCTTCACCAATGCGTGTTGACGAAAATTGCAATTACAAATTTCATTCGTGCTGTCGGGGATCAAACCCGGGACAAATTTACAGCAAACGATTTGACGACATATTTTTAATACGACACAAATAAATACAATTTAACATATATAATAAAAATTCTTACGTACTTGAAACTTGAACACTTGATAGGTCGTGATGCCTACCGGACAAAGCTACAGCACCACACCGTGCAATGTAATTGAAGATGCGTAACCGCGACATAATTCTCAGTGATGCGCAAGCATAACAGGCAGTATGTCACTTATATAATTGTCATCTCTGCAGTCTATTAATCTTTGCACTTTTATAAGTAATACAGAACGTAGTTGCTAGACGGTGTTGACATCGGCTAAAATCTCTGCGATCGCCGTTTCGTCAAGGTCATTCAGGCTAGTTAAAGCCTTAATAAATACTGTAACTTACAGTACTTCCTAATAAGGTCAATCGCGGGCACATTTCAGTGTAGAAAAGTGATAAAATGATTAGTTTTAAACAAATAGTGTCTGTGTTTAACGTACATGTCAAAACAAAAATGTATGGCAGGGGTATTGGAGCTTCCTCCTTATTTATATTAAGTTTAGCGGCCACCATGTTAGAAGCAAGATTTTTCTATTACCAATTTTTTTTTCAAAATTCAAAAAAGGCAGTTTGTTTCGTCTCGTAACGTCCTCAGGTGAAATAGAGTTTGCAGTGGCCGACTATTTAGCCATTGTACTGATCTAATTTTGAACATGTTTAAAGTTGTATTCAAACCGTTGGTCCTTGTAGTTGTGGGTGCGCTGATTAGCGAAGGTGCTGCGTAGCAAGCGGAACGGGTCGTAGCCCTCAGCGCTGGGGGGCTGGGCGGCGCCGGGCGCGGCGACGGGCACGGAGCCGCCCAGCGCGCCCACGCGCGGAGGCGTGCCCGAGCGCTGCGGCGCGCCGCCCACGCACTGCACCATCGACGCCAAGCCTTCCCGCCGTCGCTCCCGACCCTCTCGCATATCTCGAAAGTCGCGCGCGTCTCTATAACCACACAATTAAATAATGAGCGCTTTCGCTTACCAGATATCGCTAGTTTTTTTTTTAATATATAGAATAAAGGTGTCAAATGAACACACAGTCCACCCGATAGTAGATTCTCTACACACACCATACGAAACACAGCAGCATTAACACGTATAACGCCAGCGTGGAAAGTAATACGCTCTCGTTCAGGCATTTATACAACAACATGCTGTAATATCTGTGATTTAATTATTGTTTTAGTAATCCAAAATACCTCATATTATCATACAATCAATAAACAAAAATTAAACATTTTAGACATTTCCATCATTTTAGTATGACTTATATGGATAGTTAGGTGTCGCCCAGCATTGTCCGACATGGCGTTATACGTGTTAAGTAATTTACACTGGTATTCTGTGAGCAAGCGGTCCGATCGAACCGACCCATTCGTGCTACAACAATAACATGTTGCAAAGTTGCAACGTGGCTCTACCACAAAAAAAAAAAAAGAATTATGTCTATTTGAAACTGAGACGAAGTTTTTTTGTTACACAATGTCGTTTAATTGATAATTTTAACGCTGATCCCCGTTGCCAATCTACGCATGGCATTAACAATACGGTGGTATAACATCATTTAGAAGCCATTAGATTTTTGGGCATATCCCACGATCAACTCCCACGAAACGAAAAGGAGTGATAGATTATCCTTACGCCGCCATCACACGGCATTAACACTTAATGAGAGCTAATATTCTAACATTCACGAAATATCGCTAGGTGAGACTAAAATGCACTTATTTATTACGCAGATGATCATACGATGTCATCATTTGAAAGTTGCATTTTAAATAAAAAAATATCAGTTTCTATAGCATTATATTATTATATCTTACACCTTTATTTAAATCTAATAGTACATTGAACCCTACTAATTTTAAACCTATTCCTGTACTGCCAACGCTCAGTAAAATTTTTGGAAAATTATTCTCAATCAAATATTAAGTTTTTTTTAATGTAAATAAATTACTTAATAGCAATCAATTAATCACAACAATCAAACATAACAATTTTTTTTAAACGTGGTAGAGCCATGGTGCAGCTATATTAGTAATATAGTTTGTAGCACGAATGGGTCGGCTCGACCGGGGAAGGACCACGCTCTCACAGAATACCAGCGTAAAATAGCAGCTTAACACTGCTGTGTTTCGTATGGTAAGTGTAGAGAACCTGAGACCCTTTTTACTAGAAAAGAGGCATTCTAACTTAGTCCTCACGGGTGACAACGCATCTGCATTTTGATTCGCAAACGAGGATAAATGTAGGTGTCAGCAACCACTTACCATCAGGTGGACTGCGTGCTCATTTGTCACCCTATCCTATAAAAAAAAAACAATCAGTTTGGATTTACAAGTGTCGCTCGACAACTGATGCCGGTGCTGAGCTAATCAAACATATTTTCTGTGCATGAGAAAATTCAAAAGTTGCTTTGAGTATATTTTGTGATTTTTCCAAGGCTTTCAACTGTGTTCACCATGAGACATTAATCAGAAAGCTACATCATTATGGTGTAAAAAACATAGCGCTTAAACTTATTATGTCGTATCTAAATAATAGAACGCAATCAGTTCTTATTAATGGAAGCAGTTTTTCCGAATCGGTAGTATCTATGGGTGTTCCTCAGGGCTCAGTTCTAGGTCCTTTTCTGTTTTTAATTTATATTAATGACTTACCTTACTTGGTAGGGAATAACCATGATATAGGATTATTTGCTGATGATACACTGCCGGCCAAAAGTTTAAGACCACACTTAAACAACATAATTATCTATAAATTTTATACGTGGTAGAGCCATGCTGCAGCTATATTATGGTTGTAACACGAATGGGTCGGCTCAACCGGGGAAGGACCACGCTCTCACAGAATACCAGCGTGAAATAGCAGCTTAACACTGCTGTGTTTCGTAAGGTGAGTGAAGAGAACCGGAGACCCTTTTTACTGGAAACGAGGCATTCCATCTTAGTCCTCATGGGTGACAACGCATCTGCATTTTGATTCGCAATCGAAGATAAATGTAGATGTATATGGGCCACAGCAACCACTTACCATCAGGTGGACTGTGTGCTCGTTTGTCACTCTATCCTATAAAAGAGAAAAATTGTAACGAAATCCCATAAGATAAATAAAAGAAATGTACACCTGCATATTCTATTGTTAATATCGAATATCTAAAGAAGTTCTTCTTTTATTTACTTTCAAGTTATAGGACAATAAATATGTATTGTTTTCAAACACCCAAGAACGCTGCGTTAGAGCCTAGTGGTAGAGCTTTTTTTTTATAGGAGAGGGGGCAAACGAGCATGCGGCTCACCTGATGGTAAGTGACTACCAACACCAGGGGAACCAGGGGAATTGCAGATGCGTTGCCGGCCTTTAAAGTCGTAATAATATTTTTATGATGGGCTAATAACTAATTGCTTTGCTTTTGTTTCCCATTGGTCTATAATTAGGATTATTTAGCTTCTAAAACACGTGTTTATGACTTATTATTACCTGAGTTTACATGGTTTTGTTCACAAACAATCTCAATTAGTCTAAACTTGTGGTTTTTACAGTGAAGACGTCTTAAAAAAGGAAAAGCATGCGAAATTAGCAGTGAAGTGCGTTCTGCCATCGTTGTTTTACATAACGAAGGCAAATCCGAACGTGAGATTGCTTTATAATTGAAGTTATCGAAGACTTGTGTTCATGGCACAATAACTCGATACCAGGGAGACAGACACTTTTCAAGATCGTCCATGCTCGGGAAGGCCAAGAGCCAGTGCCGGCCTGAGGCAAGTTTTAGGATGGAGCGAGACCCAATTATGGCGCCCTCCTTGCTTGCCCCTAATATATACCAGTTGTACGTGCACATGCAAGCATGAAACTGGGAAGATTTCGGCATCTTAAGTCATGTCTAATTTATCGATTGAAAACAGCCATGCTCGTGGTATTTTAGGTACTGCACTCCTTACGGTATCTATAGGAACCGTTGATTTAGAATGAAAAAACAAAATTAAAAAGAAATTAGGGTACATTTACTTAAATAAATCATTACAACAATAGAATATAAAACAAAATTAAGTCAACATCCATTAATGATGATTTCTTATATTTATGCGAACACTACACATTTAAATAAAACTAATTTTACGGATTTTATTGCGTATATTAACTTATTTTATATTCGTGACGTTTCAAGCACTTTGCATCACTCATGGTCACGGGGGTGGGGGGGGGGGGGCTTGAAACGCCGGGAATATAAAATAAGTTAATATACGCGATAAAATCCGTAAAATTAGTTTTATTTAAATCCATTAAGGAGATCAATAAGCATAATCAACTTTAGAACTGGTACTTATACGTTATGTTATATGTTTACTAATTAATGTAACAGTAATATAATTAATCCATTGAATATCGGAAAAATTAAAACAATAGCATAACAATCGGCATAGTTATAAAATTCGGAGAGCTGTCCAAATAAGAGGTCTAACTATGAAATTGCTGTTCTGCAGTACTGGCCATTTCAAATCAAAATAATTTTTGTTTGCCTAAGAATTCTAATTTCAAATTACTTTTATTTAAAAAAAATAGGAATCGTTTTTTCAAAATTAGTCATTTGTTTATTGATAACCGTTATGTTTTTATCTTTTTAGTCATCATAGATACGTTAAAAATTCGAGTTATTATGGAAAATGAGTACCGTCGTGGCCGCAACGCGACACAAGCGACACGCAACATCAACGACGTTTACGGAGCGAATAATACAAACTAACGCATTACCTTCTATTGTTTGCCCGCTTCCGCTCTGGAAATTTCGACTTGAAAAATGAACTACGTGATGGTCCGAAAACTTTGGTGAAGTTAAAGGATAATGACGAATTAAAAGTGATTCTGGAAGCTGATGATACTCAATGTGCGGTTGAATTAGCAGCAGCTTTCCACGTTAGCATCAAAACGATATTGGTCCGTTTGCGTCAAATTGGCAAGGTAAAAAAGCTTAACATATGGGCGCCCCACGAACTTAATGATCGCCAGCGCGAAGTACGCATCGAGACGTGCTTTGCACTGCTTAACAGGCACACAAACGAAGGAATTTTGAACCACATTGTTATATGCAAAAAAAATTGATTCTGTTTGACAATCGTAAGTACTCAGCAAGTTGGTTGGATCATGATTCAGCACCTAAATAATGCCCTAAGCGAAAACTTACCCCTAGAAAAGTGATGAGCACTGTTTGTTGGTCTAGCGCCGGTGTGATTCATTACAGCTTCTTACCGAACAGGATGAGCATTACTGCAGATGTGTACTGTGAATAACTGAACACTCACACGTCTCCAACCAGCTTTGGTCAATCGCTCGACCCCGCTCCTCTTGCACGGCTACGCGCGAATTCATACTACACAACAGACGGTCTCCAAGTTACAAGAGCTGGGTTGGAAGTTCTCCGTCATCCACCGTACTCACCAGACCTTGCGTGTACAGACTTCTACTTTTTCCAGAATTTAAATAACTTTTTGGCGGGAATAAAATTCAATACCCGAGAGGCAGTACAAAATACCTTTGAAGAATTTGTTGCCTCCCTCCTCCAGCTGACTTTTTCAAGAAGGGCATCAACAAACTGCTACTGCATTAGCAAAGATGCATTGATTGCATGGATGATTACATTGATTAATAGAAATAAAAAATTTAGAAAAATATTTACGTTAACTTATTTCGTAAAAAAACAGCAATTTCGTAGGTAAAGACCTAATATTAGATAACGTATCTTGCCAATTATTTAATACTAAGAGCTGAAGTACTGCTTTCGGGTGACCTTTATCGATATGTAAAAACTTTTTCAAACACATCATTTCTTTTGAAAGCTCCAATCCCGAAATATCGCGATTAAGATCATGCGTTCATTTTTCCTCCAACTTTGAGCATACTTTCTTAACAATTTCATCAGTCTTATTCAAATCATAGAGGAAACTATTTTATTCAATTCTATAAATGCCAAGTCTCATTAATTGTAAAAAATCGTGTAAAGCATGTCTCTATTTAAGTTTATGGCGGTGTCTAACGTTGGATAGAAAACATTTGTTCTGAAAAATTTTTTTTATTTGTATTTTATCAAAGAATACAAAAAAAATTGTCCAGTTTGAAAATAACAATTCCTTGCAATTGAAAAAATATCGGTTTAAACAATATGGAACCGAGTTGCGCCATGGCAACATGCATTTATATCATCAGCAGGACAACTTGAAGACAATCGCATGAAAATATTGAGGTGGAATAGTTTTGGTACTCATGCGCCGATTCCTCCTGGGCTATAAGAACATTTTCTTCTTTTTTCGTTCGCGGTTTCTTTCAAACTCCGAGTTTATTTCAGCTTTTTCAGCTTTTTCAGCTGTATCTTTAGCTGCAATGAGAGCCTTTGTTAAACCTTTGTCTCTAGGTATATTCTTTTTTGTGCATCAGTTTTGTAGCATCTGATAAATCTATGTGCTCTGCTTGCATGCATGTGCTGACAAGATGAACGTGGATTAAAACATCATATCAAATGACAAAAGACAGCAAAAACTCTCTTCTCAAAATTGACTGCAATTTAGCTTCCAAACGTGCTACGGGATCAGTTGTGTCGATACTCTTCTTCCAAGGCACTTTTTACTTCGGCGTACTGATACCGTACCGCTAGCAAGCTGTTGACTCTACTTTCGCATCTTGTTTGACACACCTTCTTTAAAGTTAAGCTCTTCACTTGTTTTGAAATAACTGCCCATCTTTTTATTGAGTTTGCAAAAAATACAAATAACTGCTGAAGAATGCCATGCTCGTCACAACAAATAAGGCCATACGCACATATACCAACTAGCCACATGTTCGAAACCAAAATAATGAAAAGCGAGGAAATTACCATCAATAAACTCAGGCACATGAGCAAAGAAACAGAACAGATACTAAGCTTTTTTTATAGAATAGGGTGACAAACGAGCACACAGTCCACCTGATGGTAAGTGGTTGCTGTGACCAATACACATCTACATTTCTCCTCAATAAAGAATCAAAATGCAGATGCGTCGTCACCCGTGAGGACTAAGATGGAATGCCTCTTTTCCAGTAAAATGGGTCTCCGGTTCTCTACACTCACCATACGAAACACAGCAGTGTCAAGCTGCCATTTTACGCTGATATTCTGTAAGAGCGTGGTCCTTCCCCGGTCAAGCCGACCCATTCGTGTTACAACTATATTACTAATATAGCTCCAGCATGGCTCTACCACGTAAGCTTCTAAAGAGCGTGCAAAATTGTTACCTAAATAAGCTAAATGATTGTATTTTTCTATTATGTAGGTAGTTATGCTAATATAAAATTTTTTACTAAGGCGCCTCCTGGGACTTGGCGCCTGGAGCGGCCGCTCCTTTTGCACTATGGTAGGGCCGGACCTGCCGAGAGCTACCACTTTAAGTGAAGATCATTTCATTGTTGTTACCAGCAAGCGAAATAAACACTTAACAGCACCGTAAATCCGCGTTGAAGTAAACAAAACCCGAGTTAAGCCTTTATCATTGACTACAGTAAAACGGCGACTGAGAGATGCGAAATTGTATGGTCGTGTCGCCGTTCGAAAACCTCTGCTAAGGCCACAAAACAAGAAAAAACGTATGCAATGGGCCCTTGCCCGTCGAGATTGGACTGAAGAAGATTTTAAAAAAGTTCTTTGGACCGATGAATCCAAGTTTGAGCTATTCGGTTCAAAACGAAAAGATGATGCCAGACTGTGTAGTCCCAACAATCAAGCATGGTGGTGGCTCAATTATGGTCTGGGGTTGCTTTACTAGCCAAGGAACTGGCGATTTGATCAAAATTGACGGAATTATGAAAAAAAAGAGTACAAAAAAATGTTAGAACAAAATGCCGTTCCTTCGGGGTTGGGATTAATTACAGATGGATTCATTTTCCAACAGGACAATGATCCTAAGCATAGCTCAAAATTATGCAGAGGATATTTGGAAGAAAAAGAGGCACAAGGGGTGTTAAAAAACATGGTTTGGCCTCCTCTGAGCCCGGATCTCAATCCCATTGAACTTTTGTGGGAAGAGCTTTAGCTGTCGAGTGGTGTAATTAAATTTCAATGTAGATGTAGCTGCAACACTAAACTGCATCCCTGATTTTGTTATCATTACTTTTTTCTGAATTGCCTCGCACTATGGAATTAAATTTAAAGATGTATTCATGTCAAAAACACTGGTTGTTTTTTTAAATAGAACAAGGGTGACTAACGAGCACACGGTCCAACTGATGGTACGTGGATGCTGTGGCCCATAGACATCTACATTTATCCTCAATTAAGAATCAAAATGCAGATGTGTTATCACCCTTAAGGACTAAGGTGAAATGCCTCGTTTCCAGTAAATAGGTTCTCCGGTTCTCTACACTCACCATACGAAACACAGCAGCATTAAGCTGCTATTTTACGCTGGTATTCTGTGAGAGCGCGGTCCTGCACCGGTCGAGCCGACCCATTCGTGCTGCAACGATTATATAGCTGCATCATGGCTCTACCACGTAAAACCTCAACTCGCCTCCAAACGGTGGCAACTATGGCAAATATTCCCTCCATGAGGTAATCTATGGGGGAGGACTATGTTCATCAGTGAACTTTTGACAGACTAAATCAGTTATTTTGACGTAGAAGTCTTCATAAAATCTAACTAAGAAATCTAAAATATCAACAGCTATAAAAGAAAAATCACCATAATTATAACTTTTAATAAAAATAAAAATAGACATCAAATTGCTAAAAAAGTTATTTATTTGCTACCGTTAAGGTTAGAATCAAAATTTATATGGGACCACCTTTGAAGTATAACCTATAAAAAAAGAATCATTAAAATCGGTTCTGCCAATATATCGCGTAACATACGTACAAAAAAAAACACACTCGAATTGAGAACCACCTCCTTTTTGAAAGCGGTTAAAAAAGTTGAAGACATTTAAAAACCGTGTAACTCCGAATTCGTGTAAGTCGCGGAAAAATTGTTTGGTTAACTAGGGTTACCTTTGCTGGTCGTGCCTTGGATTGACCCCCAGTGCTCGTGCGAGGTCTTCAGCTCGCTGGTGGGGCGATGGGCCGCGTGCGTCCCGTGCGTCCCGCGCGTCCTGCACGTCCCGCGCGGTCCGCGTGTTGCGTACGTTGCGCACGTCTCGCATGTCCCGCACGTCTCGGACATCGCGACCTCGTCTCTGATTTCCGCCTCGTCGGGCATAGTTTTCTGGAACAATTAATTTATATAGTACTTCATCTAGAACTTAACACCGTGTTAATGTCGCAGCTCGATATTCAATCTGTTAATTGGACGAACTTGGTGCTCGCAAGCCAGAGTTCAGTTAAAGGGATTATAGAGCTAGATCTCTGGGCCCCCAGACTTAGTATGTACTTTGAACGAATGCATGCAATTTAATCTCTTCTTAATATCAATATCGACCTTAATATCAAGTGCACCAAGAACCTAATTTGTGGCAAAAATTCAATTTTAATGAAAAAATAATATACAGAGTTATTTTGCAATAACCAGCCAAATTTGTAGAGAAGGTTCAGAATAAGTAAGTATATTACTTAATATTACTTAAAGGCAAATGGTGAAGAAAAAATTAATTAAATAAATCTCAAACTTTCAGTCCTTTTATCTTTTAAATTCAGAATGCGTGGCAGTATTTTAAGTGATTTTCGAGTGAAGCACACATTCATAAGAGTCGATAGGCAAAAACAGTGTTGCCCATAATTCACATTCAATTTGGGATAATTTCAAATAAAAGTAGACGCCTTCTTTATACATAGTTTCAAAAACTGCACATCATTGTTTATTTATATGCGCTCCTCACTGCTTACTACGGCTCAGCAGAATCCCACCTCCGATATGGAATAATATTTTGGGGTAACTCCACCGAAAAAGATACAGCTTAAAACTACCGATAGCTGCATGCCATATTTTAAATAGTTTAAAATACTGACATTACCTTGTATATACATACTAGAAGTAGCTGTGTTTGTTGCGTTACATCCAAATCGTTTTAAACACCATGCCGATGTAGTTTCACGTAATAGACGCGATAATACTCTATTGTGTCATCAATCCGCTAAGACAGCACTAATGCGCAAAAGTATCTACTGCATGGCTCCGATCATATATGATAAAATACCAAAAAATTGGAAAGAATTGCCGCTATCAATATTTAAAAAAGGCTTCGAAGCTTTTTGACAGGCAAAGCATACTATAGCGTAAGGGAATTCCTGACTGAAAAAAAATTTTCGTTTCAGATTAAGACTAATTAATAAAGAAGATTAATTAATAAAGAATTATGTATAGTTTTGTGCTATTTATTAGTATAGCGGATTAGTTTATAATTGTGTATTTTTTGCATGTCTAATAGTAAAATATGGCTGAACTGACTACCTATATCACCATGTCATCATCATCATCATCATTACAGCCCTTCACAAGTCCACTGCTGAACATAGGCCTCCCCCAAAGAATGCCACAAAGCACGGTCCTGAGCCACCTGCATCCATCGACTTCCTGCATGTCTTACCAGGTCGTCACTCCATCTCGTGGGGGGACGCCCTACACTTCGCCTACCGGTACGAGGCTGCCACTCGAGAACCTTTCTTCCCCATCGGTTGTCGGTTCTTCGAGCTATATGGCCGGCCCACTGCCACTTCAGCTTACTAATCCGTTGGGCTATGTCGGTCACTCTGGTTCTACTGCGGATATCCTCATTCCTAAGTTTATCACGCAGAGAAACTCCGAGCATAGCCCTCTCCATAGCTCGCTGAGCGACCTTGAGCTTCCTCATACGGCCAGCAGTGAAGGACCACGTCTCAGTTCCTTAAGTCATCACTGGCAACACGCACTGGTTGTACAATTTCGTTTTAAGGTTTTGAGGTATGTCTGACGAGAAGATGTGTCGTAGCTTCCCGAACGCTGCCCAGCCGAGTTGAATCCGTCGATTGACCTCTCGGTCGAAGTTGGACTTACCTAGTCGGACTATTTGTCCCAGGTAAACATACTCGTCAACAACTTCGAGCTTAGTGCTCCCAACAACTACCGGCATAGGTGTGACATGGACATTAAACATGATCTTTGTTTTGTCCATGTTCATCTTAAGACCTATCCGTTGGGAAACACTATTGAGGTCATTGAGCATAGTGCTTAGGTCCTCCAGCGATTCTGCCATAAGGACTATATCGTCGGCAAATCGAAGGTGAGTGATGTACTCGCCATTGATGTTGATACCGTATCCTTTCCAGTCCAGAAGCTTGAAAACGTCTTCCAATGCAGCGGTGAAGAGTTTCGGGGATATGACGTCACCCTGTCTTACACCTCTCTGCAATTGGATAGGTTTCGTATTCTGGTTCTGTACTCGGATAGCCATCGTAGCCCTACTGTACAAGCACTTCAACACTTCGATATACCGACAGTCAACTTGGCACCGCTGAAGGGACTGCAGCACCGCCCAAATTTCGACGGAATCAAAGGCTTTCTCATAGTCCACATACGCCAGACATAGTGGCAAATTGTATTCTTCGGACTTCTGTACAACTTGCCGAAGGGTATGTATGTGGTCTATGGTGCTAAAGCCCTTTCGGAAACCGGCTTGTTCGGGAGGCTGGAAGTCGTCAAGTCTGCGCGCGAGACGATTCGTAATGACTCTCGAAAACAGCACGTAGACGCGGCTCAGAAGGGAAATCGGTCTGTAGTTCTTCAAGAGAGCGTTGTCACATTTCTTGAAGTTCAAGACCACCGCACTTCTGCTCCACGCCTCCGGTGTAATGCCACCATGGAGGACAGAATTAAAGAGCTTCTGAAGGACTTCAAGTACCGGTCTTCCACCCGCTTTCAGAAGCTCCGCTGTAATTCCATCCTCGCCTGGGGCCTTACCGTTTTTAAGGTGCTGGAGAGCCATCCTAATCTCGCTCAGACTGACATCCGGGATATCTTCGGAATAGTGTCGCATGAGACTCGCTCTTGGATCGTTACTCACACTTGCGTGTGGCTCCAACGATGATGTGTACAGCTGCCCATAGAACCTCTCAATGTCACTCAAAATCTCAGGTGTCCCGGAAACGATGCTGCCACATTCTGTCTTCATCTTTGACAGTTGGCTCTTTCTGGCAGACAGATCTCTGGCAAAGACTTTGGAGCCTTGGTTCCGCTCGATCGCTTCTTCAATACGAGCTGTATTGAAGTTGCGTAAGTCCCGCCGCATGCATTTGGAGATCTGTCTGTTCAGATGCCTGTATGCTGTCAAGTCTGTTGAAGAATGTAGCTTCATCTCCCGTCTAACAGCCATGAGATTAAGAGTGTGATCGGAGAGTTTTTGTGTTCTTCTGCGGCGGGTCTTGCAGAACTTAGCTCCGACCGCATGGACAGTTTCCACGAGCTTGTCATTCATATCGTCCACTTCATTGCAGTCTTCCAGGCACTGAAAACGGTTTTGTAACTCGAGCTGAAAGGTTTCGGGACTTTGGAACAGAGCACGAGGGGGACGGAGCGTTGACTTCATTAGACGAGACCTCTCCAACTTAACGTTTAGGTTCAGTGTGCCTCTAACCATTCGGTGATCGCTACCAGTTTTCACCCTCGCGATCACGGAGACATCACTGAACAGTTGTCGTCTGGTCGTCATAATGAAGTCAATCTCATTTTTTGTGGAACCGTCGGGGCTCGACCAGGTCCACTTCCTGTGGGGCCGCTTCTGGAAGAAAGAGTTCATCATAAAGAGTCCCTCTTTCTCCATGAAGTCGGCCAGCTGCTGGCCCCTTGGGTTCCGTTGCCCTATTCCAAATTTCCCTACTTTCAGCTCACCGTTCTCTCTTGTGCCTAGTTTTGCATTGAAGTCTCCCATTAACACAGTATATTGGGTTTTGGAGGAATGCATGGCCCTAGAGATATCCTCATACATTTCCTCCACCTCCTCATCATCATATCACCATGTACTGTACCCATATTTGCAAAATAAAATATCTTTATCTTTACATATTTGAACTTAAAAGTTAAAATTTGGCTACTCTTTGAAAAATAACCCCACCAAACTCGCTATGAAGTCACATTCTCTATTTGATTTATCGATGCAAAGAACAATAATTTTTAGTCTTTTTCTAAGCAGCCATTTTAGATCGACTCAAGAACAACTCATTTATTTTATTTTTTTATGAGCAACAAGGTTTGAACTATTTCCAGATGTTTTGAAATAATGGTTACAAATATTACAGAAAATTCTATTTTCCTTTTTTTTTAAATAGCCCTACAATTTGTATTTATTCATAGTGTAACCTACGCGTTGACGTATCCGTAGAAATACAGTTTTAATAAACTATAAACAAATAAATGTTTTTCGCCGCTGATAATTGGTTTTCGTCATTTTAATAACGTTATTACTGGTTTTTTTGACATATCGTTGCAAGCCTAGTAACGGGGAATCCATTTAAGCACTCAGGGATGTCAATATATATATATATGGATAAAGTAAAATAGTAGCTTAATGTTGCTGTGTTTTGTATTGCTAGTGTAGAGAACCGGAGACCCTTTTTACTGGATACTAGGAATTCATCTTATTCCTCAGGTATGACAACGCATCTGCATTTCAATTCTTAACCGAGCATAGTCATAGATGTCTATGAGCCACAGCATTTACTTACGTACAGATGGACTGTGTGCTCTTTTATCATCCTTTCACTGTATACTAAAAGAACTAAGTCTAAATAAATTTCGCGAGCTGGACACAGACTTCGTCAGACTTCCGTGAAGATTATGAAGCAAGGGTTTTTGAAAGAGAAGAAAGTAAAATGATATGTGAAATAAGAATAGAAGGGGAGTTGGTCGAACAAGTAGATGACTTTGTGTATTTGGAATGTGTATTTAACAGGGATGGTAGATATGATACGCAGGAAATAGAGTAAATCGGGCTCTACACTCTATTCTGAAAAGTCAGAATGTGTCCAAAAAGGCACATATGGCAATTCACAATGATACATTAATATATGATAATGAAAGTTGGGTGTGGCAGAAGAAGCACGAGAGTAGAATAAATGCTGTAGAAATGCAGTCATTGAGGAGTATGCTAGGACTGAATCTGAATGACATTGTGTGATAAGAGAAGAGTGTGAGAGAGTTTATCGACCAAATTGGCGATATATTGAAAATGGGCCAAATTAAGAGTAGCCTCAACCGATGAGCATGTATGCGTAGGTATATGTATGTGGAGGAGGTGAGAGAGGTGTGCCAGGAACGTATCAAATGGAAGTCCGTAGTCTCTGCCTACCCCTCTGGGTGACATGCGTGAGTAAGTGTTTATGTAGCAGTTAAGTCTGAAATAGGGCTATGATTTTTATCACATGTATAATGTTTAATTTTATAACAAATCAACAACCCATATATAATGTGAAACAAAAACCCTGTGGTTCCCGTAAAGTACGTCATCAGGATCATTATTCAAACGTATAGAAATAACTTTTTTTTTAAAAACTCGAACAATTTTTTTTAATTTTATTAAAAAAATAATTTTATGCAAATTTTATGTGGTTTTATTACCTCTGCATTGTCTGGGGAGTAGGAGGATTGTCAAAGACCCCGCTTTACTTAGCTTTAGCATCGGCTAGTGTCAGTAAGAGGTAATAAACCACATAAAATGTAAAAACAATTAATAAAATAAAAAAAACATGGTCGAGTTTTAAAAAAAAGTTATTTCTATAGGTTTGAATACTGAACCTGACAACGTACTTAACGGGAACCACAGGGTTTTTGTTACATGTTGTATATCCCCCTACATACGAGACATTAAGATGTTTTTTTCGTATTTTAAACATAATCCTGATATAAAAGCTTTTAGAAAAATTTACTTCGCAAATATCCGCGTTATAAAATAAAATGATGTGTCTTAGCGGTTAGCCACCGTAGAGTCTATATCACCTGAGGATGCCTCGTGTAGAGGTGAAACACGTGTCGTATTATCGTCAGTGGTGTGTCTTGCCTAGTGTAGTGGTGTTGAGAGTAGCGGTGCTGGGATTAGTGGTGACGGGGATAGTGCACGCAATTGAGGGAGGGCGGGAGGTGCTCTTCATACTAGGTAAGACACATCATTTTATTTTATAACGCGGATATTTGCGAAGTAAATTTTTCTAAAAGCTTTTATATAATGGATTTCTGCAAAGTAACGCCTGATTCTATTAATTATAATCCTGATAATATTTTTAAGACTTGTGATGGGCTGTAATCATGATGTTGAATGATGAATCCAATTGGGATCATTATATAATATTACAAAATACAGGTAAGTCCTTACCGTCGTCAATGTCCTCCTCAAAGTCTAGAGCGTTGTAATCAATTTTCTCGTGACGTGAATGATCTACAAAATTAAAAAAACATTAAAATTCATAATGTTACTACGAGTATCAAATAGTATTTTGTTCTGTTTTATAATGGAATAATTATATAACATTGGCGAAGCTTTCTTCCTTTAATAAAATTGTCTGTCTTAATTTCATTTTGACTTCATTCATTAACACAAACGCACGCCCACGCACACGCTAACGCACACGTATACGCATACGCACACGTATATATCCCTTTAAAAATAAAACCGAACAATATGGACTTCAAAATATATTATTAAAATGTGGACAGTTTAATATCAGTCCAATAAATAACTCAAATGGAAATTATAAACAACGACAAACCTAAAGTACTGTCGCACTCGCCCTCCTCTTTCTCCTGCTCGGGGGTGCCGGGCTCTCCGTCATCTGTATAATCAAAATGTATCTATAATCTTTAGTTCTTCCATAGCAGCACGCAAATTACTGCCGATAGATTTAGGAGCTAGCAAATAAAAAAAATTAAGTGACATTTCCACTACGAACCAGCAAATAATTCTGGAGTTATTGTTTTATTTTTAACTAGCTGTACTCCGCGACAGCGCCCGCACGTAATTTATTACGATTGGATTTCATGGGTTGTAAGTTTTTGCGCGGAACCCTAATTCTTTTTCTAAAATAAAAGTAAACTAAGTTACTGCTTATGACATCAGCTATTTGCCAGTGAAAATCCCGTCAAAATCGGTTCAGCCGTTTCGGAGATTAGCCGAAACAAACAGACAGACAGACAGACAGACGGACGGATAGACATACAGACAGAAAAAAACTTTAAAAATTGTGTTTTTGTTATTGGTACAGTATATACTTTCATATGCATTTAGTAAAAAGCTGTAATTTTAACATTACAAACAGACACTTCAATTTTATTTATTTGTATAGATAAGTGATAATTTTAAGATAATCCCGTGGGTGTCGTAAGAAGCGACAGAGGGAAACTGAAACACGAGATGGTCCCCAGCATCTTCCTGATAACGACGCCATAAAAATAATAAAAAACTGCGATTGCCAAACCTATTAGTTAATATATGGACCGTAATGATTTTTATTTTACATCTATACAAATAAATAAAATTGAAGTGTCTGTGTCAAAATAACAACTTTTTTACTAAATGCATATGAAAGTATATACGGTACTTATAGCAATAACACAATTTTTAAAGTTTTTGTCTGTCTTTCTGTCTGTCTGTTTATTCCGGCTAATCTCCGAAACGGCTGGACCGATTTCGACGGGAGTTTCACTGGCAGATAGCTGATGTTATAAGGAGTAACTTAGGCTACTTATATTTTTGAAACAGAATTAGGGTTCCACGCAACATAATTAAAACCCTAAATTGCACGCGGGTGAAGTCGCGGGGAACAGCTAGTTAAATTAAATAAATTTGAATATATACCAAAATATTATTTTATTCTGCTTGCAATAATTCCACTGTTGAACATAGGTCCCCTAAACATTGCCTCATAGAGAAGATTTTGCCATAGTTACCACGCTTGGCAACCTAGACAACCGCGGTTTTTTTTTACCAAGAATATGCTGCTGCCCGGCTCCGGTTCCAGTTTTTCTCTGTCGCCTTGTAGTGTGTAGGTAGGTAGGGAAGAGAATCAAATTGATAAATTCTGAGAATACTGTAATTAAATACCATTTCTACTGAAAACTATATTTGAGACTTTATTCGATGTAACTCAAGGCTTTATCCATACAAGAATTGTAATAAGATCATACCATGTTAATGTTAAAAAGTTAAAGTTACAGCCAATATACGTCCCACTGCTAGGCACAGGGCTCCTCTCATTTCTGAGACTAGGGAGGAGTTTAAGGACAAGGAAGTGTTCGGCCGCGCTGCCCCAGAGCGTGTTGGCGAACTTCACATATCTTTGAAATATTTTTTTTCTTATTTCTCGGACACGCTGGTTTCCTCGCGATGTTTTCCTTCACCGCCGAGCGCGTGGTAAATCAGCACTTAAAATTGCAATTGACAATTTCATTGGTACCGGCGGGGATTGAACCCGGGTTGCTCGCGTACTGTGAAATTTACAGCGAACACTAACCATTTGAGCTACCACTTGAAGATAATTCATTGGAAACCGTCACTTGAAACTGACGTGGACATGCAAACGTGGATTTTAACTTTTCTTTGTTAGAATTAACTGTTTAAGCGTTGTATAACATTCTTAATAAAGCCAGTCCCACCAGTCGAGTAGTCTAGTATAGTCGTCTAGTTGTCTTGTTTCAAACATCGTCGCGAGTCTTTAATTTACCCAAAGCTCAACCCATCGCAGCCTCTTACGACACCCACGCTACTATATGGGGTAGTGGATATTCTTACACTGCCAATACACGGTTTAATAATGAGTATTAAATATACACATATAAGTAGACATAGACAAATGATTTATTAGCATCAATACACTCACATAATATATAGTTAGAAGTAAATGAAACATATAAAACATACAAGGTAGAAGGAAAACATAAATATAAATAAATCTCAACAAGAGTGAGTGATGTGATGCTAAAAAGGATTTCGTCTCAGCATATGCTACCAAAGTTACATTGTAAAATTAATAACAATAAAGTATCATATTTTAATACAAAATATTGTAAGTTTTATTTTCGATTACTCAACTAATTTTGAAGTAATTGATTGTTTTATGTTTTGTAATAGGTAAGTTACAGGCGTCTTGTCATCGCGCTTCTCTTTCTTTTCTATGCAATCCGACAGTATATAAGTCGAGGCACGTAGGTCTAGCGCTGAACGAAACGTGAAGGGGATATCCGCGCATGGGTACTGTCACTCTCGAATTGAATTTCATGAATGCGACTGGAGAGCCGATCAGCGCAATTCGCTCGCCCGCCCTGCGACCTACTTACTACCCCATGATAAATTATTTTCGACTTATGCTCAATAACGGTCACCGCTAGACTTTCATGCCGCTACTTATAAACTCATTTGCTGTAGTCAGCATCTTAAACATAAAATCAACTGTATTCGAGGATACTTTGTTACTACCTATCACCAAAAACTTTATAGGTATGAGAAAACATATACTATTTGGAAACTCACTGAGAGGAGGTTTGTCGACGGGCCTCCTCTTTGGCTCCTGGAGTTCCCTTTCAGCGCGTTCCTGGTCCATGCGTTCCTGAACATAAATTTGGCTTGTCAATCAAATTCAAACCACATTAAATCTACAAATCATGTATTTGTACAACGCCAAACAATACAAACGAAAAACATATGTAATCCAACTACAATATGACACCTATCAGCAAGTATCTGCACTTGTTGTTAGTTAAGTTGTATGGAATTTAGCGGCCAAAGGCCACACAGAACAAAAATAGGCGAAAATAATTTCTTAATTCGAAACGTCGAGATTAAATAAAGTTAAAGTTATACGCGATAAAACCCGTAAAATTAGTTTTATTCAATAAATTCTGAATTGTCAAATTTCACTAACAATGGGAAATATTATATATTTTTAAGTCATGTTTATTAACTTTATTAATTTAACTTAGGGCTAATTTTTCAAGAGTAAGATAAAAGTTATCCATGAAATATATACCTGACTGAATATAAAAATGAAACAATGGAACTGTTTTATTCATACAACTGTAGTTTTTAATTCGATTGTTGTATTTAATTCTATAACGTTTATTTGATGATTGAAAAATCGGCCATTAGTAACATATTTTATATACCTACATGAAAAAAAATCCTATAAAACTGATTTTGTCAAAAAATGTATACGCAATGATTTGTAAATGACATTTATAATATAAAGAGATTTTACATTATATTTGTATTTGATCTTGTAAAATAAAGTTTAAAATTTTGGTCCTTCATGCCGGATCAAATAAAACTAAAATATTTTGATATTAGAAATCATTTAAGTATATAATAGAAATCATTTAAGTATATAAGAAAGGGGTATGAAAGTGAACGCAAGTAAGACGAAAGTGATGGTTTTTGAAAGAGAAGAAAGTAAAACTTTATGTAAAATAAGAATAGAAGGGGAGTTGATTGAGCAAGTGGATGAGTTTGTATATTTGGGATGTTTATTTAGCAGGGATGGTAGATATGATAAGGATATAGAACGACGAGTGAACGCAGGAAATAGAGTGAATGGGGCTCTACACGCTATTGTGAGGAGTCAGAATGTGTCAACTAAGGCACGTATGGCAATTCATAATGCTGTGTTAGTACCCACTTTAATGTATGGTAGTGAAAGTTGGGTCTGGCAGAAGAAGCATGAGAGTAGAATAAATGCTGTAGAAATGCGTTCCTTAAGGAGTATGCTAGGGCTGAATCTGAATGACAGGGTGAGAAATAGTGTAATAAGAGAAAAGTGTGGTTTGCAAGATGACGTTGTGACAAGGATTAAGAAAGGAATGCTTCGGTGGTTTGGTCACGTAGAAAGAATGAACGAGGAAAGAGTGACAAAGCAAATTTATGTTGCAGAAGTGAACGGCAGGGTCGGGAAGGGACGCCCTAGACGAAGGTTTATCGACCAGATCGGCGATACATTGAAAATGGGCCAGATTAGGAGTACCCTTAACCGACGAGCGTGTATGCGTAGATATATGGATGTGAAAGAGGCGAGAGAGGTGTGTCAGGATCGCGCCAAATGGAAGTCCGTAGTCTCTGCCTACCCCTCTGGGTGACAGGCGTGAGTGTTTATGTTATATATGTTTATGTTTTTATGTTAAGTATATAGCAAGTAAATAAACAGATGTTGAAAAATGAACAATAATATGAAAAATAGTGTATAGCCCTCACCTCGAAGTCGGACAGCTTGATGATCCTGCGCTGAGCCTGCCTCCAGTGCGGCGGCGTCACCGAGCGGGAACGCGAGCGCGACCGAGATGGAGTGCGGTAGCGCTAAAGGGCAAACATTGTTCTTATATTCACTTTACCGGGTGGTACGGATCTGTTTCAGGATATGTGGAGGAAGCTATCTATCTATAAGCTATACACCCTTGACCTATTTCTGCCATTAAGCAGTCAACGTCAAAACATACAATCAAAGTTTGTTTAGAACTCTTATATACCATTCTCTTATCAATATCATCTTGAATACCAATGTAAAATAGCCCTGCACTGCAGTAGCTCGCTACTGTGTTTCGTGTAATAAGTGCAGAGGACACAGAGACCTTTTTTACTGATCAAGTGGCATTGCATCCTAGTTCTCAGATGTATGCACCTATATAATGCACATGTATAATGCACCTGTAGCTTCTATTGTTTGGAGGTGGATGCAGGTGTGTATGGACTGCAATAATCGCTTACTATCAAGTGTCTATCTCTATCAGTCTTGAAGGTTCGGACCTGTCCATCCTTTGGCTACGCGTAGACAGCGACGACCATCCGCGCGTCTATGGGTGCCTCTATAGGTCCCATAGCGGTAATGTCGAAACAGACCGACTCATCGACCACGTCCAAATGGCTACAGATTCCTTGCTACAACAGGTCCCATCCGCAGAGATCGTGATCCTTGGCGATTTTAACGCCCACCACGCCGAATGGCTCGGTTCACGTTTAACCGATCATGCGGAGAGTTTATGACTTTGCTTTGGCATATGGTCTAACACAACTGGTTATTTCGTCTACGCGGATCCCAGATGTGGAAGACCATGTACCTTCCCTATTGGACCTTCTGCTGACCTCTCATCCGGACAGATAGGTTTCGGTCGATGCCCCTCTCGGCTCTTCGGAGCATTGTCTGATCCGGAGTGTGGTGCCACTCACGCTCCCCTCGCGGTTGCGTTCTGCAGGTTGCCGTGTTTGGCATTACAGGTCAGCGGATTGGGACGGAATGCGGTCTTTCTTTGCATCCTACCCTAGGGGGCGGGTTTGCTTCTAGCCGGATGATCCCAGCGCTGTTGCTGACTCTGTCACTGATGTGGTGCTACAGGGAATGGAACTATTAATTCCATCATCTGTAGTACCCATCGGAGGCAGATCTCATCCTTGGTTTGGTCGCTCTTGTAAGACTGCATTACGCAGTAAGCAAGAGTGTTATCAAGCCTGGGCTGCGGCTTCGGCTACTCGGGATGTAAACACCAGCACACTTAAAAAGAAGTATAACTTCGCCTCCAGGTCCTTCGAAAGAGTTATTGCCAAGGCAAAGTCAGAGCACATAGGCAGAATTGGCGAGAAACTAGTTCGCCTTTCTTCGGGAACCCGTGCATTCTGGTCTCTCGCCAAGGCTGTCCAAGGGAATTTCTGTAAGCCTTCACTACCATCTCTGCACAGGGAGGACGACTCACTGGCCCACGCCGCAAAAAAGAAAGCCGACCTTTTAGGCTCCCTTTTTGCGTCCAACTCGACTCTTGACGACGGGGGGAAAACACCGCCGACCATCCCGCGGTGTGAGTGCTCCATGCCGGATGTGCTGTTCTCACAGCGCTCGGTTCGCAAAGCGCTACTCTCCCTGGACATCCAGAAGTCGAGTGGGCCTGACGGTATCCCCCAATTGTGCTGAGGACGTGTGCTCCGGAGTTGGCACCGGTCCTAACGCGTCTTTTCCGGTACTCCTACTCCCAAGGCGTAGTCCCGAATTTATGGAAGACAGCTTTTGTCCACCCGATCCCTAAAAAAGGCGACCACTCAGACCCGTCCAACTACAGGCCTATCGCCATCACCTCCTTGTTCTCCAAAATAATGGAATCCATTATTAACTGCCAGCTCATGCGGTACCTTGAGGATCACCAGCTGATTAGTGACCACCAATACGGTTTTCGTGAGGCGTTGGGCGTTAGTTTGGACATTGCGAAGGCCTTCGATCGGGCTTCCCGAGAAATTGTGCAATTGGATCACCAGCTTCCGTGCAGATTGGAGCATCAAGGTCGTTGTAGACGGTGCATGCTCCGACTACAAGCCCATTAACGCTGGTGTTCCACAAGGCTGTTTGCTATCACTAACGCTGTTTCTTCTGCATATCAATGATATGTTGCTAACTGGTAACATTCATTGCTATGCGGATGACAGCACTGGTGATGCTCTATACACCGGCCGTGCCAATATTTCTCGGGAAAACGTCGCCGAGTACCGGAACAAACTTGTGTCTGAAGTCGAGTCTTTGCTGAACAATGTCTCGGATCGGGGGCGACTAAATCTAGTCCAGTTTAATCCTCAGAAGACACAAGTTTGCGCGTTTACCGCTAAAAAGAACCCCTTTGTCGTATCTCCTCAGTTTCAAGGCACTCACCTTCTCGCCTCAGCCAGTATCGGAATCCTCGGAGTCGACATATCGAGTGACGTGCAATTTCGTGGTCACTTGGAAGAGAAGGCCAAATTGGCCTCTAAAAAGCTTGGCGTGCTCAACAGAGCGGGACAGTATTTCATGCTGGCACACCGCCTACAATTTTACAAGGCGCAGGTTCGGGCTCACATGGAATACTGTTCCCATCTCTGGGCAGGGGCTCCCCAGTGTCAGCTTCTTCCACTTGACCGCATCCAGCACAGAATCGTCGACGACCGAGTCCTTTCCGATCGGCTCGATTCATTGGCACTACGAAGAGATGTTGCATCCCTTTGCATTTTCTTTCGAATTTACCATGGGGAGTGCTCTGAGGAATTGTTCGGATTAATCCCAGCCGCCAAATTTCACGAACGCACATCGCGGCAGAACCCCCGATACCATTCACACCATCTGGATGATTGGCGGTCCACCACTGTGCGGTTTAGAAGATGTTTTCTTCCTCGCACGACTTCCTTGTGGAATCGATTACCATCAGCGATTTTTCCGGACCGATACGACTTAGAGACCTTCAAGAAAAGAGCCTACTCCTTTTTAAAAGGCCGGCAACGCATCTGCGATTCCCCTGGTGTGGCAGTTGTTCATGGGCGGCGGTAGTACCATCTGTACTTACCATCAGGTGAGCCGCATGCTCGTTTGCCCCCTCTCCTATAAAAAAATATATTATAAAAACCATTTTCACACCAGATTATTTTATTTTAAGTAAAATCAGTACATATCGAAATGGACAGAATAATTAAATAATCGAAATGTGCGTTTTTCACGTGTTTCATATTTTTATTAAATAGGAAAAAAATGTGTTGTTCAAATTGTTTTGTCTATTACACTATGTATTATTCATAAAACAATGCAAACATTTAATTACCTACCTCTAAAATTATAATGATTAGAAAATTGTGTTCGTTGTACATTTAAGCAATAATTTTATATTTCTCAAGTCTTTCATTCAATCACAATGATAGAGGCCCTGCTGTGGAACTTATAAAAACTTTAATCATAATACTCACAAATACACCACGACCCTTTATAATCCTCCCACTTCTCGTATAATTGTGGCGTTCCCTTTCGCGAAACCGCATCCTGAATACGAGATCAAATCAATTACTGAATTAAGAACTACACTATAGTAAAATTATTTTGTCCGTGCAGTTGGGGTCGTAAATCATAGCTCGGCCTCAGCCCGGCTAGGGTGGTGAGCATGTTGCACGGGCGCAACGCCATTATCGATAATAACAAAGGCTGGTGCGACATTGTTATGTTATGAGTCATTTGTTTTCCATTATTACCCCCGCCTAATACCTACAGATTCAGATTTTAGATATAAGTTATTATCTTTATATTTATTTTTAATATAACTTTAACCAATCATTTGTATATATTAATTTATTTTAAATCATTATTATTCTTATTTTAATACATAAGTTGTTTGTATCTATTTTTTTTAATTTTTATCATTAACCCACATAATGACAAAACTAAATACACTATCGATATTACGCATATCGACAACAATAATGCGCATCACTATGCTCGCCCCTAAGGCCCGTGAGCGGGAGAGACAGCGAAATATAATAACCCAAACTGCACGGACAAAATAATTCTAGTATAGGATTTTTAAAGAAAGTTATTATTGACGGTAAAAAGGTACCGTAGCTGGAAATGTAGTGTTGTCAGACTTTCCAAAAATGAGAAAATATGGCATATGTTCATGAAATGCAATATCTGTCCATACTCACACAACTCTAACAGGTGGGATGGTAAGTGCAAGGTCACTATCCCCACTTTGCTGTCATTAACAAACCTAAGGTTTATTTTCATATCAGTCCACAGAATAGAATAGTTTTTTTATAAGGGCTGATTTATACTTCAATAAGTACAGTAGAGAGTTTTATATGGCAGTTGACAATAAACGGTTAAGTGGGCAGTAGCTTTAAAATGTCTTCGCGGCGAGTTCAGTTAAAAAAAAGTACAATTATTTATTTTGAGGGGTTGAACGCGAACACGTTGCATCCTGTCAACTTATAGCAAGCGGCGAGTTTAGTTTTAGGTGGCGGGAGACGAGCGGGAAGGCAATATTTCGGACACAACTCGCCGAAAAATAGACCTGCCAGCTATCCCGTTCAACTTAATTGTTCATTTGCTATTTAACTCGCCAGGTTCGCAAGTTAACTCGCTACTATACTTGTCGAAGTGTAAAGTTACAGTTACAGTCCATTAAAGGTTCATCGCAGAACATAAGCCTCTCCCATATCCCCCATTGCCTCATGAGGGAAATATTGACCATAGTTGCTATGCTTGGTAGGCGGGTTAGCAACTGTAGTTTTTTTTTTAATAATTTTTAAGCTGTGATCAGGTAGATGATACTGCTATAGCCTGTTTTAGTTTCCCTCCATCGCCTCATTATAATACATGTATAATGAATGGAATTTTCACTTTTACCTCTGGTTCAGAATAACCTCTGTCTTGGGAAGAAACGTCAAGAAAATCAACGGAAGTATTTTCTAAATAATTAATGCCCTCATCATCATTACAATTTCCGTAGTGTTTGTAAAAGATCCAAAAGAAAATCATCCACACTACACATAACTAGACGATATCACATAACCAGAAACACGACAACAGGATAATCATAAATTAAAAAGAAAAACAATAACAATCAATAAAGGTAAATTATTTAACTTACATTAGAAACTGGCTAAAGCTGAAAAGCAAAGATGAGACATTTTTCAAGAATTATAAAACACCCGATGATATACTCTTGAATTTATAAAGATCAAGGCGTACAATATAGATCTTTGCATTACAATTAGACTTGCAACAAATATTAGAATATTCGGCCTATTTACTACTTTTATCCTATTTCATTGTGGTAGGATAATTGGTAAAATAAAAATATTTATTTTATGACTAAATTGTTTTTTCTTGTAACCATTAAAGTAGTCATAGGTACTTAATCAACTGCCATATTATAAAAAATAAATAAAAAACACTATCAGATAAATATCTATGCACTAGAATTATCGTATAATGGCGCAGAAAGACAATTTTTTCTGCATTTTCAGGCAGTAGTTTAATCGTTTTCTTCTCGTAGACAATACCAGCTTCAGAGAATAGACGTTCTGAATAAACACTACTTCCTTCCCGGCCGAATACTTTTGCCTAATATTCGGCTTATCGGCCAGGAAGTCCGCAGAATATTCGGTATTCGGCGTGCGGCCGAATATACTATTCGTTGCAAGTCTAACAATTGAATGGGTAAACTGTTACACCAATTTATCTCATAAAAAATCCGTAACTTATTATAAAAAAAATAGAATATAATATTTTTTATTTAGAATAGATTACAATCATACAATTCATTCTTATTGAGTAATCTTTTACTTTTAGCACTGGTTCGAGAAAAACCTGTGTCCTCGGAAGAACCAGCAAGAAACCAAGCGAGACTTTAAAAAAGTATATAGCCAATAATTATATAAAATATATCATAAAATCGGAACAAAAACTCCTTCCCATCTTTTTTTTAATAGCATTGAGTTAGCCAGTACGCACGATAATAACAACAGGAGAAATTAAATCTCTTTTTTTGCAATCCACTAAAATTTGTCCAGGACTTTATATAAAATGAAAAAACCTAAATACCTCTCTCTATCCCTCCGAGGGTCCCTTTCCTTATCCTGATCTCTACCCCCCCTCATAAGGAACCTGTTTGTAGGCACTTCTGGTATTTCTCTAGGGTCAATCTTTGATGTCATTACAAGAGGATGGGATGGGGCTTCTTCAGCCTCTTCCTCGTCTGCTGACGGACCCGAGTGATGTCTGTAATTAAAAATTGCTAATGACCTACCTACCTGATTGTAAATTAGGGCTAGTTGAGTGGAACTAGCTCATTGTTAGAATGGTCTATAGTGTAGAGATTTTTTTCTAGAATAAGGGTAACAAGCAAGCCCACAGTCCACCTGTTGGTAAGTGGTTGCTGTGGCCTATAGACATCTACATTTATCCTTGATTAAGAATCAAAATGTAGATGCGATGTCACCCCTGAGGAATAAGTTGGAATGCCTAGTTTTCAGTAAAATGGGTCTCCGGTTCTCTACACTCTTTATACGAAGCACAGCAGCATTAAGCTGCTATTTTAAGCTGGTATTCTAAAACTTAGAAACCCTAATTGAAATCTACCCGGTAGTATTTCTGCGATGCGGGCACAATTGCAATCCTCATTTTAGTTATATAGACGAGACGAGGTGCATGTACAGTTTATGTTATAAACTATTCATTCAGGAAATTAAGATGACTAAAAATAAAAAAATAAACTTTAAACCATTCATAAATAGTTGAACTGGTATTTTGTTTTAAAAAAGGAATTTTATGCACTTCCATTTACTTCAAAATGGCTCCTAAAAGAAAACAAAGCGTTTTTAAATATGGAGACCCATTTTTCAGGCGATACTTAACTAATTAATTTTAACATTTTTAATATGGTGCTCAGCCGTATGCAGTCGCCCATTGACTCCGAGCGAGGAAATTTTTCTATCATTAAATTACCTTTTCTTTTTTTTATCTTTCTTCTTCTTCTTGTCATTCTTATGTGAATGGTCTGATTCTTCATCACTTCCATCTTTTTCCTTTTCTTTTTCTTGTTTGCGCTTTTTACCTGTACAGACAGTTACATTTACATACAGTATAAACTAAAATTTATTTTAAAGCAGATACAAGCTGATGTATTTTTTTTTATAGAAATAGTGTGACAAATGAGCACACAGTCCACCAGATGGTAAGTGGTTGCTAGGACCCATAGACATCTACATCTATCCTCGTTTGCGAATCAAAATGCAGAAGCGTTGTCAGCCTTGAGGACTAAGATGGAATGCCTCTTTTCCAGTAAAAAGGGTCTCCAGTTCTCTACAATCACCATACGAAACACAACAGTGTTAAGCTGTTATTTTACGCTGGTATTCTGTGAGAGCGTGTTCCTACCCCGGTCGAGCCGACACATTCATGATACAACTATATTATAAAAATAGCTGCAGCTTGGCTCTACCACGTAAAAATTGTCACGTCATATCAAATCGTACGTACGTAGGTATGTTTTATAAATTTACTGTTTACTTTGTCTTATTCCTAGTTATAATATACTATTAATTTTCTAAACAATTCATTTATTAGAATTTCAAAACCTATGAATGACAATGACTTTAAAAAAGGTTTACAATTTGACCTTCCTCTTGAATCATTATGTCTATTGATGAGAACCGCATCAAAATCCGTTGCGTAGTATAAAAGATTTAAGCGTACAGACGGCGGGAAGCTACTTTGTTTTATAATATGTTGAGATAATTATTTATTCTGATCCCAAAAGTTTCATTTACAAAATAATTGAATTAATTCATGTAAGCATTCCCCGTTTAATATTAGTACAATTATTAACAATAGTGAGAACAATAACTGTATCTGTTAACAATATTCTCTCGACTGAAGAGACGCACCTGATTTGAGCCGTACAAGTTGTCCACAAGCAGTCACGAGTACATCCTGCAGAGGTCGGGAGTTCCTGTCGACGGGCAACGCCTCCAACTGACGCACTAACGCCGCTCCGCCCACCACGTGGCCAAACACTACGTGCACACTGCAACAAAAGAAAAAATATGTCAATAAACAATATAGCAGATAAATAACAATGTCCTACAGACCGAACTTCGGTCACGGTAGCCAGCCTCAACGAAGGCTAGCCCAAGTGTATATGCAAGCACAGGTGCACTCTCTATTCCCTCACTCTCATAGTCCGATGGGACGGTAAACCGACACGACCAGAAAGTTATCAGGCACAGGTCCAACGTGCTTCCGAGGCACAGGGTGTGAAACACCGCCAACTTTATGATTCCGGGCAGCTACTAAGAATTTCTTAATCGAGATTCGCACCCGGGACCTTATAATCAGCAATCGTGTGACTATCATCTTGATGTCAACAAAGTTAACGAATAGGTGTGCTGTTAAAACTATCAGTTTTTTCTGGTTCTGCAGTGGATATTTTCATAACGATTCTGTCACACAGAAACCTCATTTATAGCTCGCTGAACGACTTTGAACATTCATATAAGTAGCAGTAAAGGACCACGCCCCGTTTACAATAACATAAAAACAAAATATAGTGGAATCTCGGTAACTTAAACCTCATTAAGTCGTAATCCTCAGTAACACGATAAGAATTACCATTACCTTCCGCTGAATTCTTAAATACACTTTTTCATTTCATTTCAAAAAGCAGACTCCGTAAGTTGAAGTTAGTTAAATATAATGACGTCTTACTTGGGATTCCCCGAATTCATAGAAATAAAATCCAAAAGAAATGTTTGTTGGTTCTGTTCTATTGCGTGTACTTCGTACACGTATAATGAATGAATACATTCATTAAACTTTCTAAGTAACACACAATCACCTTGTGTTAATTTATGTTTCGGCTGTGGGCTCGATTCTTGGCAAGTCGAAAACTCGTTAGCTCGAAATTTTTAGCACCGCTCTTGACTTTTTTTAATTTTTCTATAGAATTAGGATGACAAACAAGCACACAGGCCACCTGCTCGTACATGGATGCAGTGTTACATAGATATCTACATTATATCCTCGATTAAGAATCAAAATGCAGATGCGTTGCTACCCCTGATTACTAAGATGGAATGCCTCGTATCCAGTAAAAAGGGTTTCCGGTTCTCTACACTCACCATACGAAACACAGCAGCATTAAGCTGCTATTTTACGCTGGTATTCTGTGAGAGATTGGTCCTTCCCTGTTCGAGCCGAGCCATTCGTACTACAACCATAATATAGTTGCAGCATGGCTAAACGAGTTGAAATTCAAATGATCGAGATTCCACTGTAGTATTAATTAGTAAGGTGAATGATACTCACTTGTCGAGATGCGGCGCCGGCTGTGTTGTTCTACAACACACAGAACAGAACAAGAACGATAGCGGGCAGCGCGCGCACGACGTCGCCAGCGCCCTCTACACAACAACGCGACATCAACTATGGCTCGCCACTTTGTCGACACACATTTTACAACCGTAGAGTCACCCACTATAGGAGTTTACTTCGCCAGTCCATAAGAGATCGCAGCTGTTAATCTCATACTTTAAATAACTAGGCTTTTATACGATTTCAGTACCAGACGGCTCACATTGTGCTGATAGGTCTCCCCGTTACGGTTACAGCCTATTAAAGTCCACTGCTGGAGATAGGCCTCCTCGTAGACTGGTTCATAGGGGGGATATTTGCTATAGTTGCCACGCTTAGCAAGCGGGTTGGCAAGCGGGTTGGCAAATGGGTTGGCAAGCGCGTTTTATAATTTTAAACGTTATTGGGCCGCTGCTTCCCATCTTCTGATTTGTTTCCCTCTGTCACCTCTTACGACACCCACGGGATGATATAAGATAGTCGATTCTATATCGCCAGGGAATAATCGCTGTTATAGGTAATTGCCTTAATTGCCACTCTTAACGGATGTATTGGCATTACGAAATCGTTATAGGAACGTCGACAAACTATAAATGACATCTTTATGAACTAATAGTCTTAGATTCCCTTATATCACCATTACATAGAGTTTAAATGTTATAATTTACCAGATATCATAAAAATTCGCATGTGAATCCATTATGATCCCGGAGACTGCTGAGCGGAATGTCGTCACGTCGTCAAGGCATTCTTCACGGACTTTTCCTTGAGACGGTGTTCCCCTACCAGAAACGAGGCCTCTGGGGATGCGAGCACTCGGGGTAGGCACCGAAAGCCTAGTGATGTAACCCTCGACGATAATAACTCGGATGTGATCCCGAGACATCGTGATATCACAGCGAGGGTGCTAGGGGTACAAGGTGCTACCCCCGGGACGTGCTAGTAGCCAAGCAAAGCAATGGGTGGCTCGGTTGAGTTTCGAACGGAAATCCCGGGACCGTTCATATACGCTGTGACCACCGTGAGGTTATAGCCGGTAGAAGTCCGGTATAACATTTTCGCTGCCCCCGCAGCGAAAGGTACTCATAAGGATTTCTCCACGATTAAAAAAAAGAAATTGGAATGTGAATGTATCATGTGTTTGACATTCAAGCTTATCTGCCACCTTATCATATAAGTTTTCTACACATATAAGTTTAATATCGGAGATGGCTACGTTTAGAACATATAAAAAACCCGGTCAAGTGCGAGTCGGACTCGCACATAAAGGGTTCCGTACCATCGTTCAAGATATAATACTATGTAGGTACTTTTTAAATATTATTTTATTACTATTTTTTTTAGCAAATATAGCAATACAAACTCTATAAGCATTTCAAGTCTACTGTTGCCATTATAAAGATCGAGCAAGAAAGGCAAAAAAACATGTTTCTAGCATGAAATCTGTCAAATATTACACCTCATTTTTAACTGGCGCCGCCCTCATGGCATAAAAAGTCGTGGATGGACATAGTATTCCCCATAGTATTGATTGCTTCATAGAGGGATATTTGATATAGTTGTAATCTCTTGGCAGGGGTTTGGCAACCGCAGTTTATTATCGAGTTATTATCAAGAAGATGCTACTGCTTATATCCGGTTTCAGATTCCCCCGTCGCCTCTTACAACACTCAAGGGATGATATGGGGTTGTATATTCGCTTACGTCGCCCCTACACTGCTACATCTAGCACTGAGATGGAAATACTGCTACAAGTCGCGGCACGTAAGTCTAGCGCTGAACGAAACGTGGACGGGACGTGCACGAATTGAATTGCACGAATGCGACTGGAGAGCTAATCAGCGCGTGAGAACGATACGCACGAGCCAATCAGCGCGACTTATGCTTAATAAGTCAACCAGCGCGACTTATGCGCAATAACGGTAACTAGACTTTCGTGCCGCTACTTATATTTACAGGTAAAGACTTCTATGTATAACATACTATTAAACCGGCAATTCCGAACAAAAATTGTGTAACAGCTGTGGACCGCGTAGGCGCGCGCGAGTAGCTGGCACGGTAAATATGCCACGCAGTCGTATTCTCATTACCGACAGTTACCGTTTTTAGGCAAATACGAAAACAAAATTAGTGTTCGATTGTTGTTGTTATTGTTGTTGTTTTGAAAACAACGTTCGCAGTTTCCAAAACAACGAACTAGACTCGCGGTCGACTGGAGTTACGGAGAATTGACCGTAACTTAGTGCGCAATGTATTAAAGCCGCAGAGCATGTCCAGTAGTATACTCGTATATAGAAGTCCTTGTTTACTGGTTATGATATCTGACATTTTTATTCATCCATAGACGCCTCTTATGATACCCACAGTATGAAATGCTGTGATGACCTTAAATCTTTTTTAAAATTTATGAAACACTATTTAATGGCGATGTTTAGTTGAATTTGATGAAGGTGAGTAATACTAAATTTGTATGAGTCCACCCGAGAATTCTTACCCATCTCTTTCACAAACTTACATAAAGAACTGTGATCCATTAGTGTCCTTGCCCCTATTGGCCATAGATAAAAGATAAGGTTTATCATGTTTCAGTTCAAAGGTTTCATCTGAAAAGAATTTTATGCATAGTTAATTGTTAAAAGACAATAAAAATAAATAAAACATATTTGAAACCTATCAAAATAAAAAACTTATATGCTATCTTTTTTTAATAGATATAATATTATTTAAACGTGGCAGAGTCATGCTGCAGTTATATTAATTGTATAGTTGTAGCATGAATAGGTCGGCTCGACCGGGGAAGGACCAAGCTCTCACAGAATACAAGAGTAAAATAGCAGCTTAACGTATCTGTTTCGTATGGTGAGTGTAGAGAACTGGAGACCCTTTCTCAACCAGGGAAGAATGACTCACCAGTGTGAAATAGCAGTTTAATGCTGCTGAGTTTCCTATTGTGAGTGTAGAGAATCAGAGACCTTTTATACTGGAAACGAGACATTCCATCTTAGTCCTTATGTATGACAACGCATCTGCATTTTGATTCGCAAACGAGGATAGATACAGATGTCTATGGGCCACAGCAATCACTTACCATCAGGTGGATTGTGTGCTCGCTTTTCACCCTTATCCTATGAAAATAAAAAAACATAAAAAAATCAGATCGTCATAGAAGAGCAGATTCATTTATTTATGCACTCCGTTTTATTTTCTGAAAATAGAGTGAATCAAATATAAAAAAAAATTCTGAAATTATTACAAGAATCTGAGAAAAGTGCTGGGGGTACATAGATAACAAGGCAAATAATTTAAAAAGACCCTTGTGTTATAGATGTCAAAGAGTCCACAGCTGGGTATGGGTTTCTCCCATTGCAGAAGATTTGCCTTAATCATCATGCTTGGCAGACTACTGGATGTGATGACCTTCGACGCTGGTGCCTGATGCTGGTCTGAATATTTTACGCCTGGCGTAAACAAGATAGCTTTTCCATCTATTAGGATCTTCACCAAAAATGTATCATCTTCACCTCATAACAAGTAAACAGTACACCATCCCTACAGCATCCAATAAATACTTTTTGTAAAAAATACTAGTAATCATACTTATAAGTTAATACAATCTACCACTTTGTCTTGCAAATGTGAACTATGAGAAAGCCTTTGATTCCGTCGAAATTTGGGCGGTGCCAAGTGGACTGTCGGTATATCGAATTGCTAAAGTGTTTGTACAGTAGAGCTACAATGGCTATCTGAGTACAGAACCAGAGTACAAAACCTATCCAACTGCAGAGAGGTGTAAGACAGGGTGACGTAATATCCCCGAAACTCTACACCGCTACATTGGAAGACGTTTTCAAGCTACAGGACTGGAAAGGATACGGTATTAACATCAATAGCGAGTACATCACTCATTTGCCGACGATATAGTCCTTATGGCAAAATTGCTGGACGACCTAAGCACTATGCTCAATGACCTTAATATCGTCTCCCAACGGATAGGTCTTAAGATGAACATTGACAAGACGTCATGTTTAACGTCCATGTCACACCTATGCCAGTAATTGTTGGGACAAATAGTCCAACAAGCCCAACTTCGACCGAGACTCGAGTGGCAGCCTCCTAACGGTAGGCGAAGTGTAAAAGCGTGGCGTCCCCCCACTAGATGGAGTGACGACCTGGTAAAACATACAGGAAGACAATGGATGCAGGTGGCTCGGGACCGTGCTTTGTGGCATTCCATAGGAGAGGCCTATGTTCAGCAGTGGACTTGTGAAGGGATGTAATGATGATGATGATAGTTTAGTGGTGTACATGTGTATCTGTGTTATTATAGATTTTTTCAGCCATTTGAAGATCATTACCTCTTTTTGCTTCGGGGGTTTTAAATTTTTTAATTTATTACATACTTTTTTTAAGGTAATATAATAAATAATGGTCTAATGCTAGTCTACTTATATCATTTTGATACAGTTAACATAAGTTTACTTAAGATCAGAATATATTAATGTTCTTAAATTAAAACTGAAAAACTTGGAATGATATAAAAATAATCAATTTGGCTCAAAATTTAATTTTTTTTGGATTTGACTTAATATTTAGAAATATCAATTAGAAACCTTTATATATCCTTACCCTCAAATGTACCACCATATATAGACTCTCCTCCAGTACCGTTAGCATTTGTAAAATCACCACCTTGTATCATGAAATCCTTTACAACTCGGTGAAATACCATTCCCTGATGACAAAACAAAACATATAAACATTAAGAGGTATATAAAATATTAGGCAAAACAATATTTAGTAAATAAAAAAAATTAAGAAAATACAAACTAAATATTTTAATATGTAGTTAAACGTTTCACTATATGCACATTACTAATTTCATAATAAAAAGGTAAACTATGAAACTGAATTGGGTATTTCACATCTGACATAAGCGAGAATATTATAAATTATAATTATTATGTATCGGAAGCCAAAGATGTCATTTCCTAGCATTCCTTATAGTAGCTTCTTATGACACCCACAAAATGAAATGGGGTAGTGGAAGTTCTAATACCACACAAGGTAAGAATGTCCACTAGATATGTTTTGTTTGCTCAACAATATTTCTTTATCATTTTACAGCATTCAATTCATGATAAAAGCCCCAAATTTCAAAGTACTCCATAAGTCTATTAATGACTTATGGAGTACTTTGAAATTTGGGGCTAAACAAATGAATAGTAATACAATAAGCCTCTTATATGTCTATCTCTGTTGAGCCTAATGGTTGACTGGGAGAGAATGCCCTATGACATTAAGTCCGCCATATGTACTACTTTGTGCATGAAACCACAACATTAAAAGCTTTTACTACCATAAAAGCTCTCTAATAAGAAAAATTATAGATTGTTCTCATTAGTAACATTTATAAAAAACTTTTTTTTAACCTAACCTACTGGGTATAAAAGCTTACAGTGCGCCTGATGGTGCTACTGTAGCCCATGGGCAGCTGCAAAATATATTGTCACCTCTAAAGACTAAGATTTAATACCTCACATTCTGTAAATATACTGGCTATCTGTAAATATAATATATATATATATATAAAAATTCATAAATAGAAAAGGAGTCCAACCGTCTAGAAAAAGAGCAGACTTAGAAAATAAAATAATTTCCACATAGCTTCAGAAGTCAGTGATAAGGCATAACGTATAGGAGAATTTAAGCCAACCTTTTTATTCTATTTAGTTTTTTTTTTTTAAATCTGCTTTCACTTTTTATTAAAAGACGTTAAATTACGTGATAGAGCCATGCTGCAGCTATATTAATAGTATAGTTGTAGCACGAATGGTCGACTCGACTGAGGAAGGACCACACTCTCACAGAATACCAGCATAAAATAGCAACTTAAAGCTGCTGTTTCGTAGAGAACCGGAGACCCTTTTTACTGGAAACGAGGCATTCCATCTTAGTCCTCACGGGTGACAATGCATCTGAATTTTGATTTGCAAATGTGGATAGATGTAGATGTCTATGGGCCACAGCAACCACTTACCATCAGGTGGACTGTGTGCTAGTAACATTATACTAGGAATAACATTATACTATAAAAAAAACAAAATTTTGACTCTTTTCTGTGGATTAAGGAAAATCACATTTATATTCTGTGATGTTGGTACTGTTAGCCTATATGGTGCTTACAGGTGCTTTCTGATAAAGGGCTATTTAAAGCTATTTAAAAAGGGAAAGGCACTGATGATGAAGATGAGGATGATGATGGTTTATGATTTGGTATTGTTACCAATCATCATGTCCCCTCCATTGAGGTTTTTTGAGCTAGCTAACTGCTGTCCGAGTGGGGATGTGCAGTATGTTTATTTATATCACAAGCACAAGAAATAGCATAGCCACAATGTTGATTACATTCATTGGACGAATTTTTAGTCTCTAAATTTATATGGCACTAACGCTTAAAAATAAGGTATTTTGCCTCAAATAAAATGAATAAAAATAATCATTAAAATTGGTTCACAAAGATGTTAATTAATAGCACACATACCAAGAAAAAAAAAGTATATTTGATAGAATAGAATAGAATATAATAATTTTTATTCAATATACATTACATGTGTAATTCTTATTGAAAGTCATTTTTTACTTTACCACTGGTTCGAAAAAAACCCTCTGTCCTAGGAAGAACCAGCAAGAAACACACCCAGTGGGACTTTTTTTTTAAATAAATTTTACAATATAAATGATTACAAACTATTTACAAATTTTATTTTAGAAACTGCTAGGAAGCGACCACCTCATTCCCAAGGGTTATTATCAACCATGTAGTCATTTATACTCTAATAACCCATTTTATACAGTTTCAGCTTAATAAGACATTTGAACTTGGTAATAGAAAGAACCTGTACACTTTCCGGGACCTTGTTGTAATAGCGTATACATTGCCCCAAGAATGAATTACTGACTCTGTGGAGTCGAGATACTGGCATCACTAGCTTGTGTTTGTTCCTAGTGTTTACAGAATGTATATCACTTTTTTTACTAAAACTATCTTTGTTTTTGTGAACATACATTAAATTTTCATAAATATACTGAGAGGCCAAAATTAATATATTTATTTCTTTAAATTTATCTCTAAGAGACTCTCTCAGTTTTAGATTGTAACTAGCTCTAATGGCCCTCTTCTGTAAAACAAAAATAGTTTCTGAATCAGCCGCATTTCCCCATAGCAAAATCCCATAAGACATTATGCTATGGAAATAACTGAAATAAACTAATCTAGCTGTCTCGACACTAGTGAGACCTCTAATCTTTTTTACAGCATAGGCTGCAGAACTTAGTCTGCTTGCTAATTTGGATATATGGGGGCCCCACTGAAGCTTCACGTCGAGAGTGATGCCAAGAAAAACAGTGGATACAACAGGGCTCAATTCCTCCCCATTTAAAAACACATTCGTATTCAGATTTTTAACATTCGTTGTTGTAAATTTAACACAATTAGTTTTATTTCTGTTCAAATGCAGATTATTAATGTTAAACCAATACACTAATTTTGATATAGCATTATTCACTTCGTCACATTTAAATGATTGACGTTTAAGTTTAATAATCAAGGAAGTATCATCAGCAAATAATACTATATCATGACTATTCCCTACAAGGTGAGGTAAGTCATTAATATACACCAGAAACAGGAATGGGCCAAGAATCGAGCCCTGAGGGACACCCATTAGTACAGGTGAACCGGAAGAACTTTTACCATTGATAATAACCTTCTGCTTTCTATTACTTAAATATGAAATAATAAGTTTAAGCGTTGTGTTCTTGACACCATAGCATACTGTAGCTTCCTGATTAATGTCTTATGGTGAACACAGTAGAGACCCCAAAGTCAGCTAAATACACATTTTCATTGAGACTTATAGTGAACTGCTGCTGACCTTTCCAAGACTACAGCAGAGTCAGACATTTCTTAACAAGTACTACACAAAACATGCCCCCACTACTATTATGTGTCATTTGTGTTTGACTTATTTAGGATATTATTTCGGTCATCGCTGGGTCACTAAAGTCTTATCCTTTAATTGCCAAGGTGCATGGCATGCAGTAAGTTTACATTTCAAAGCTAATTTGAGATCATCCTGTTTTTTTAGTGAATTTTCAGACTTAAATAGATACGGTGTAAAAAATTATAAGTAAGTGTTAAATTGGACTAGAGAGTAAATAAAAGTTACTGATATAAGTTTAAAAATGTTAAATCAGGCTCTCTTTGTAACCTACGGGGTTCAATACCATTCATACTTTACTGCTGCTCAAAAGTACTAGCTTAAGAGAATTTAAATACCAAGCCGTACCATAAGATTACTATATCCAGCAATGGAAGGTTAAAGATGAAGACAGCACTTCGTATGACAGACCTCTCTCAGTAAAATATGCTAAAGAATAATGATAATTACAATAATACATAGATGTTTAGAAAATTGGAATTGGAGAAGTGTGTACCTTATACGTTAACGGTTTTCCTGTTACTTTGCCCTCCCCCTTTTCACCTGTGCACAGGGCACGAAAATTTTCCGCAGTCTTCGGAGCTACATCTGTAAACAATTCAAAGACGATACGACCGGAAGGCAAACCTCCAATTGAAATGTCCATAAAAACTCGCTCTCTCTCCGGTTTTTCATCACCATCGACCGTCATTTTAATTATATTTTACTCTAAATTAATTCCCAAAACCTTGATTTAATTTATCTCAAAAGCTCAAAACCTCGATATCAATATAAAATTACCATAGCAGATCACAGACATTTGCTCAATGTCACAGACTATATACATAGATTAGTGATGGGTCAACTCGAGTAGCGCTCTAGTTAACTCGAGTTGGATCTCTCGAACTCGAGTTTGAGCTGCTGTACATGAACGAATCAAGTGAGCCAGCAAAAGAGAAAGAGCGCGATTCGTTCGTTGTGTGCCTGCTTTGTGTTTCAAAAAGTATTTAGCTACAACCAAAAATTTAGTTATTTAGAATTTTATAATAGCTATGTAATTTAATAAAAAAAAGTTATGTAATTTAATTTCTTTTATAATTTTTTGATTAATTATGATTATATAATTAATAGAATCAGGCGTTACTTTGCGGAAATCCATTATATAAGAGCTTTTACAAAAATTTACTTCGCAAATATCCACGTTATAAAATAAAATGATGTGTCTTGTTACGGCCTACGGCTGCTCCCTTAAAGAGTCAAATCCTCCGGGGCCCATGAGCAGAAGACTTCCCGAGCAGACGTAGGTCGGGCCTCAATGTGGCCACGTGGAATTTCTCTAATTACACTAAAATATATGGAGGAGCGTTCTATACTACGGCCAGTCGACCGGGAGGAATTAGACGGAACTTACTTACCTATATCCAAGGTGCCTGGTCCTTCCGGAGTCGGTCTGGTCGTATGTGTTTGTGTAGTGCAAGGGAAATAAGGTGATGTGATGTGTATCTGGGTGTGACTGATGGTGATTGAACCTAGACCTTAGCCGTCGGCAGCAGCCCGAGCGTCGACACCGCTCCAACTTGAGGGGGCCTTCCGAGGCGTTGTCCACAGTCACTTTCCTCGTTCAACACGATTAACTAACTTACAGAAGCCACTAACTATCGCTGGGTATAAGGTTAACGCACAAAACGTACACGGAGTTTACGGATCAAAGGTCACAACCGTTTCGCGTAGCAACAGTTAGTTCTAGAATATCAACGGCCGCACTAGCTAATATTGCCGAATGCACTTATGCAGATTCTGAGTCGGACACAATGAGTCCCTGGGAAGCTCTTCAGCTGGAATGCGCGTCACAAAATCCTAGACCGTATATTTTCGGGCCGCGCCTAATTATTCCGAGTTCCCTAACAAAAATTGACAGCGTACAGACATTAGCACAGCTAGCAGACGACTACTTCGCCTTTACACGTTCTCAGCCCACCGCTCGGCCGACGTTAAAAATCGGTATGGCCCAGAGCCGCGCGCCCCCTAGACGTCGATTCCGACAACAGCGTTTGGCGCGAACACCTAGTATGAAGAGCACCTCCCACACTCCCTCAATTGCGTGCACTATCCCCGTCACCACTAATCCCAGCACCGCTACTCCCAACACCACTACACTAGGCAAGACACACCACTGACGATAATACGACACGTGTTTCGCCTCTACACAAGGCATCCTCAGGTGATATAGACTCTACGGTGGCTAACCGTAGAGTCTATATCACCTAACATCTAAAACACTTATAGAAAATAAACCGACACAACCAAATTCTTTTGTACTACTGCATACTCATGTTGATGAAGTTCGTAGCACTATCCTCCATCTAAAATCTAACAGCGCCCCAGGATGGAATAATATTCCCAATAAAATTCTAATGTTGGCGGTTGATGACTTGGCTCCCATTATCACCCACCTTGTAAATCTTTGTTTCTACAAAGGTGTGTTTCCTGCAGCGTTTAAACAATCAATTATAACACCCGTATACAAGGGTGGGGATGGCGAAGATATTAGCAATTATAGGCCGATCTCGGTTCTGCCAGCAATATCTAAAATCTTAGAGAAACTACTTAATACTAGACTACTAAATTACTTAAATAAATTTAACAAATTATCATCTTCACAATTTGGTTTCAGGCGGGGAAAATCGACAGAGGATGCAATCACGGAGTTAAGCTCTTTTGTAACTAGGCAACTTGACAACAGTAAAAAGTGTCTGTCGGTTTACCTCGATCTGAAAAAAGCTTTTGATACTGTGTCCATCCCCATCCTTGTGCATAAACTTGAAGATATGGGAGTAAGGGGGACTCCGCTTGCCCTTTTTGAGAGTTACTTAACGGATAGGAGACAAAGAGTAAAACTACTTGGTTGCACTAGTGAAGCTGTTGATGTGACGTGTGGCATGCCGCAGGGCAGCGTTTTAGGACTCTTTCTCATCTACATCAACGACCTATGTAGCATGAAGATCTATAACACCAGAGTTTTGTCATACGCTGATGATACGACTGTAGTATTTGCCGGTGATTCTTGGGAGGTGGTCAAAACTAGTGCTGAGGCCGGTCTGTTGCGAATCGCTCAGTGGCTGAAACACAACCTCCTGACCCTAAATACTTTTAAAACCAACTATATATGTTTTAGTACTAACAACAACTCGCAACCTCAGGCCGACTTCAGTTTAAAAATTCATGAATGTACAACGGATACTAATAAAAACACCTGTAACTGCCCTAGAATTGATAAGGTAGCTCAGACAAAATATCTGGGAGTAATTGTAGACCAAAGACTATCATGGTCCCCACACCTTGATCATATCATCAATAGAATGAGGAAACTAACTTGGATCTTCAAACCCTCAGACATGTAATGCTGGGCAAATCGGTTTAGTACTCACCAAATTATCTCCTCAATCAAATCTACATTGCTCTTGCTCAATCCGTCTTGGCCTACTGTATTCCTGTCTGCAGTGGTGCAGCAAAAACTCGATTTCTGGAGTTAGAGAGGGCGCAGCGTTCTCTTATCAAAGTTATGTACTTTAAGAAGAGACGCTTTTCTACCGATCTTCTATTTCGTATCAGCGGTTTACTCTCTGTCAGGAAGTTGTATATATTCTGGACAACCCTCAAAACTCACAAATCATTGTCTTATGATCCATGCCATTTAAATAAACGACGTAGAAACATGGTTGCCCAGACGTACAGAACTAAAACCACATTTGCAACCAGACAATTTATATCGCGTTCTGCCTTTCTTTATAATAAAATAAACAAAGATATTTATATATACGACAAAAGATATCACAACTGTAAAAAACTTTTGTTAAAATGGATTCATCATAAGACATATGACGATACTGAGGAGCTACAGGATCATGTAGCATGATTTTTTCAGATTCAGACACTGTAATCACACACACTCTTTTTAACTCACGCAAGCATAGATTCAAACATACATACACCCACACACAAACACACACACACACACACACACACACACGCGCGCGCGCGCGCGCGCACACACACACAAACCCACACACACACACACACACGCGCGCGCGCGCGCGCGCGCTTATACATAAGTAAATAAACTAAGAATAGAATTAATATAGAATTTAAGTAATATATAACATTAATATGGATATAGAATATGTTTATCCATACTGTCTTGTAATATGGATATAGTAATGGAAGGACGGACCCTCCAAACACAGGCATTATTTGCTTGAATGGAGGTTCCAATCTACTAGTTTTTAAGGCATGTACTTTTTTAAAACGAAATAAAATTTATTTATTATTATTATTATTATTATTATTATCTGAATTCTAAAAAAAAGAACCAATTAACCAATTTTGATTTTATTTTATTAACTTAATCCTTATAAAAGTCGGTTGTTCTTTTTTGAAAATAGTTTTCATATTATATTGATTAGAAACCCACTAAACCCACTATACGGTGTTAATGGGAGACTTCAACGCAAATCTAGGCACAAGAGAGAACGGTGAGCTGAAAGTAGCGAATTTCGGAATAGGGCAACGGAACCCGAGGGGCCAGCAGCTAGCCGATTTCATGGAGAAAGAGGGACTCTTTATGATGAAGTCTTTCTTCCAGAATCGACCTCACAGGAAGTGGACCTGGTCGAGCCACGACGGTTCGACGAAAAATGAGATTGACTTCATTATGACGACCAGACAACAACTGTTCAGTGTTGTCTCAGTGATCTTGAGGGTGAAAACCGGCAGCGATCACCGAATGGTGAGAGGCACACTGAACCTAAACGTTAAGTTGGAGAGGTCACGTCTAATGAAGTAAACGCCCGTGCCCCTCGTGCTCTAATCCAAAGTCCCAAAACCTTTCAGCTCGAGCTACGAAACTGTTTTCAGTGCTTAGAAGATTGCAATGCAGTAGACGATATGAATGACAAGCTCGTGGAAACTGTCCATGCGGTCGGAGCTAAGTTTTGCAACACCGGCCGCAGAAGAACACAAAACTCTCCGATCACACTGATATGAAGCTCCAGTCTTAAGTAGATTTGATAGCATACAGGCAACTGAACAGACAGATCTTCAAATGCATGCGGCGGGACTTACGCAACTTTAATAGTGCTCGTATTGAAGAAGCGATCGAGCGGAACCAGGGCTCCAAAGTTTTTGCTAGAGATCTGTCTGTCAGGAAGAGCCAACTGTTGAAGCTGAAGACCGACTGTGGCAGCGTCATTTCCGGGACACCTGATATTTTGAGTGAGATTGAGAGGTTCTATGGCCAGCTGTACAAATCATCGTTGGAGCCACATGCAAGTGAGAGTAACGATCCAAGAGCGAGTCTTATCTGACACTATTCCGATGATATCCCGGACGTCAGTCTGAGCGAGATTAGAATGGCTCTCCAGCACCTTAAAAACGGCAAGGCCCCAGGCGAGGATGGAATTACTGCGGAGCTTCTGTAAGCGGACGGAAAATCTGTACTTGAAGTCCTTCAAAAGCTCTTTAATTCCGTCCTCCATGGTGGCATTACAGCGGAGGCGTGGAGCACAAGTGCGGTGGTCATGTTCTTCAAGAAAGGCGACAACGCTCTCTTGAAACATTACAGACCGATTTCCCTTCTGTGCCGCGTCTACGTGCTGTTTTCGAGAGTCATTACGAATCGTCTCGCGCGCAGGCTTGACGACTTCCAGCCTCCCG